ACATACAGATAAATTGGTATCCCAGAAGGTGAAGACACTAATAAGGGCATTGATAATCTATTACATGAAACCCTGGAAGAAAACTTTCCAAACCTAGAGAGGCATTCAAAGATCTAGACCCAAGAAACACAAAGGACCCCAAATAGGATCAACCCAAAAATATCTTTTCCAAGACACATTATAGCCAGACTGACCAAAATCACAAAGACAAGATACTAAGATTGACAAGAGAAAAACATCAAGTTACCACAAAGGATATACCATCAGGCTAACAATGGACCTCTCATCGGAAACAATGCAAGAAGCAAGGAAAGAATAAGAAAATATACTCAAGAGTGTTGAGAGAAAAGCAATTTCAACCAAGAATACCATATCTGGCAAGATTATCCTTCATATGGGAAAAGACAAGAAAAAAGAAATGGAAAATTATTTGTTGATGATAACATGTATGATTAAGCCACTGTCACTACACAGGCAAATCATATTTTGTATGCTGTGATGATGTTCAGTGAAAGAATGTGAAATAAATACAAAATAAACACAAAACAAACAAAAAAATGCAAGAAAGAAAATGTAACCTTCAAATATTATATGCTAATAAAATAGAGGGCTGGCCTCATACTACAGCCCCACAAGATCCCACTGTGTCTGAACCATGGTTCCAGAGAAATGAAAAAAATCTGGGTCCATGTGCCCACGTGCTAGAAATCATGGGAGGATGGAAAACATAGGTAAAAAGGATTGAGACAGACCACAACCCATGGGGAGTGGAGCACTTGTGTGCTCTCTCTGGTTAGCAGATCGGCTGTCACAAACAAAAACAAAACAAAACAAAAAAACACAGAGAAAACAGAATGAAGCTAGACACAAAAAGCCGTGTTGTATGACTCCATGTACATGCAAACCCAGAATAAGTAAACTTATGGAGACGAAAAGTAGATTCATGACGACTAGGGGCTGAGAGAGAGGGGAATGTGGAGCAATTATTAATGGATACAAGGTTTTGACTGGGTGATAAAAATATTCTGAAATTAGCTGGTGATAGTTATACAACTTTCTGTATAACTCTGGCCAAAGATTTGTAGTTTTCAATAAATAAAAAACCAAAAAAGCCCACTTGTGGCAACAGGCAGTGGTAGGGCACTGTTCTGGAATGCTGAAATCACATGGCAACTGCAGCTTGAATCCTGGGTCCACCTGAAAAACACCCAAGGGTTGGGAACCAGCAGTTAGCGTAATGGCTATGCCGCTGGACTCCCACGTAGTCAACCGCGGTTCACGTCCCAGACTCACGCCGGGCGTGTGTGCGTGCGTGCCCAAGATCCCAAGAGAGAAGAATGGAGAAGAAGGGATTGCGGAGTGACCATCCCCCCCGGCGGGTGATTTCTCGCTTTCTGTCTCTATGTCTCTCTCTGTCTGGGGAGTGCATGCTCCCTGCAGCGAAAACCTCTCCCAAAAAAAAGGAAAAAACAAAACAAAACAAAACAAAACAAAAAAACACCCAGGGGTTCAGGCAGTGGGGTGGGGTGGCATGGTGACTGTGGCAAGCATGTTAACTATACTTTTCTCATGAAATAAATAAAATCAATAAACTTGTAGGGGGGGAAAGGGCACATTTTGGTAATAAATAAAATCAATAAACTTGTAGGGGGGGGGGGAAGGGCACATTTTGGCGATACATTATTTTCAATGGCCTGGAATTAAAGGTACGAAGAGTTCAAACCACACACACAAAAAAAGACACTAGGATTTTTTTTTTCTCTTTCTGCTAATGATTAGAAATGTCAGAAAAACAAAGATGTTCTTGGCCTTTCCTCCACCCATACTCAGCATTCCATTTAGACTAAGACCACTGATTAACATCAGGCCTTTTACACCTATCAGTCATATGGGCTATAAATTCACATTTCCCTCTGTGCATTTTTTTTTTTAACCTCCACACCCCTCTATAACTTCTGCCTACCCATCCCAATTCCTATCCCCTCTCCTATCTTTTGGAACTCACATTTAATCTCAAGCACGTTCTCTGGTCCTACAGGCTTCCTTATCTGAATAGACAATTCCAGTCATTTCCCTATCACTAACGGTCTTCTTCTATGGTTAATTTTTAGCCTAAAAATAAGCCATTTCTCCTGTATTTCCATTTTACTATCACCATCTGGTCCGCCCTCCCCGCCCCAGCAAAA